ATCTCTTAGTGATTTTAATTGCTCAACAACGGTCAAGACAAGAGGCTCGTCGACGATTAAGTAACCTAATGTTTTTCAAAACAAATAAATATTTTAAGTTTTTATTCCCCCCTCCCTCCCCCGTCAATTTTTGTTTAGAAGAATCTCAGAGAAAATTGAACGATTTCAAAATCATTCTACCTATCAAGTTTTAAAGGAAATATGAGATGGGATGTTCGAGTAAATAATAACCTCTTCCCAAAGTCTCTAAGAATCAATACCACCTCTCCACTTAGCTAAACAATAAAAATATAAAGTTTCTAATTAAGGACAACCAAATCAGGGACAAGGATCAGGGTCTAATCAAGGTAAAAATTGAAATCTGTTTTTAGATTGAATAATAAATTTAGGAGGAAGTTTTCGTCAACGAGGCGCACCACGCCGAGGACCACAATCCGGAGGTTTTTATTGTAAATCATAAAAACAAATTTAAAAAACAATCTCTACAGATAAAGGAAAGGGAAAAGCACTAGAGTAACGAGATGTAAACACAGCATTTGTTGACTGGAGAATTATTATTTACAGATCGAAAAGTTAAACATAAAGAATTGAAAAATATACTCGTTGTTTTTTCACATAGTTATCAACATAATCTACCAACCGTATATGCTAGTATAATTACTAGGGTTTCGCCGGAAGTTCCGGTTCCGGAATTTTCGCCTGCGGCGCAAGAAAATGAAGAAATCTAGCTACTTGGTCACACAAATTCTCAAAATTTTCGCCTGAGGCGCTTAAAAAGGAAGAAATTTGTATCCTTGGTTCACCTAAAATCCCAAATTTTCGACTGCGACGCTATGAAGGGAGGTTGTATGGTAAATCGAAGGATTTGGATGGATGAAGGTGGATTTTGAGTTACATTATGTGAGTTCAAGGGGTTATAGGTAATATAGAGGGATTTGGGTGTGATGTCCAGAAAATGAGCTGTGCAAGTTAGATATCAGGGATTGAATAGCTGGGGATTCGGTCTTCCAAAACTTGGATTTTTTTCGTTTCGATTAACAGAAGAATTTGGCAGAATTTAATCGAAAAATTTGGCGAAACCGCACCCCTACTTAAAATCAAAATATTTTAAAATGTGCTAGCAAAAATTTTTTTAAAAGTTCCGGTTCCGGTTCCGGGAACCAGAACTCAAATTGGATCCGGTTCCGGTCAAAATTTCGGTTCCGGCGAAACCCTAATAATTACCCATTCTTAAATAATCACCCCTTTCGATTGATTTACCCAATCTAGCGTGATATTTAAACAATTTTTAAAAGTATTCCGGCATATACGGTATCCTAAACAAATACCTTCAGTTATAGCTTTATTTAAGATTGATGGGTTTTTTTGATATGGGACTGTTATTTTTAACACAATCTAATTTTTTAATTTCACTCTTTAATTGTATATCACACCCCCACGATTTTTGTCAAAAATAGTCTTGATATTTTGTGACATTTATTTTCTAGCTCAAATTGAGTTTATTTCGTTTGATTTTTTAGTTAAATTTCACTACAAAAACCTTTTATTTGTTCATGTATTTTGTTTTCCAATCTGTATGCAACGTATTTTCTAGTAAATCTCGGGTATGGAAGGACTTTTAATCCGATTGACTCTTTTTATTTAATTCTGGGTAAATTTATATGAAGTCAAAGAATGAAAATTATGCAATAAATTTTACTCAAGAAAATAATCATAGAAGGAATGAAATAAAAATATTTTGATAATACATATAAATAAAGTATTTTAATGTTTTAAAAATAACGTTTCAAAAAGTTCCCTGATACAGTCGGATCTCACAAGAAGATTTAACAAATACTGGATAAATACACAGCAAATTAAGATTTTAAATTCTACTTGGACGTTGAGTTGGGTAGCTAATTAATCTAGGAAATAAGTGTAGAGATCTGACTGTATATAGAATCTACTGTTAACCTTCCAACAGAAACAAATCACTCTTGAATTTTAACTAAAAAATACAAACAGAAAGGAAAGGATTTAAATATAAATGCCCAAAATTTTGAAAAAATCTTGAATTTAAAATAAAGCCTATAAGACTTAGATATACTTCAATTAAAAAATTTATAAAATTTGTTGGTCATTTAGTGGGTAATCAATGTTGAGATCCGACTGTATTATCTATCTAGTTTTACATATAATTTTCCCATTTGACTGATCCCGTAAGAGTTTAACTAAAATATGACCGAAAATAAAATAAAGACTAATTGGTAATCTGAAGAGAAAATTAATAAAAATATTAAAGATTTGAAAAAAAATATTTGAGTTAACAAGATTCATAAAAGTTGAAGAAGTCGGATCTCAATATATGATAACCATAAATCCGAAATAAAATAAAAACCGATTGGTAATGATAGGAAATTAATAAAAATTGTAAAGATTTAAAGGAAAGTCTCGTATAGATTTGTTGCTACAATAACAAAAAAACAATGTTTTCATTGTTAATTTGTTTAAACTTCAAATAATCAGTAAACTAGTTCCCCTCAAATACTCAATTTTCATCTCGTTAATCATCCATTTTACCCTTTCCTTTATCTGTAAAAATTATTTTTAATTTAAATGTTTTACAAATATTCTTTTCTAAAAATTATTTCATTGATAATTTTAATTTTTGTGAATAAATGTTATAATTCTGTATGGAACTTTTATTGTCATTTATTCAAAAAAACGTGCTATTTAGAAAAATATAAATCTGAAAAACCTCTAGATAACAAGAGTTGGTAGATATTTTTATTTTTTAGTTAATAAAATACCTTCAGGACGTGAACTTCCTCGGCGGCTTGCTCCTCCTCTTTGACGTGAACGTCCTTCTAAATTATAATTTAATTCAATATTTTAACAAACAATAGAAAATGTGTTTTTATAGAAACAGAGATCGGTCTCTTTAACTTGAAACGTCCTCATAATTTTTTTACCTTCGTTAGACATTGATACCTGTACTTGGTTATGATGTCCTTATTTATTAAAAATTTATACCCATATAACCCCATTTCTAGTCTAATTTTATATTATTTCGATCCTTCACTAGGAGTGATAGTGGGTGCCGGAATTTTGGTCACCGGAATTTTGGTCACCACGATTTTTCGGAACTTTGGTCACCAATTTTTTTGGAATTTTGGTCACCAGCGGAATTCTGGTCACCAAGTCAAAAAACGGAATATTGATCACTGAAATTTTGGTCACCAATAGGAATTTTGGTCACCAAATGGAAAAAAATAATCTTATCTAAAACTGATATCAAAGTGATAAAAAATGATTTTTCAACCCCCATTTGATCAATTTCAATGTTTGTCACTTTCCCGGCTGATCACTCTCTCGGTTGATCACTCTCGATCACTCTCCCAGATGATTAATTAACTGTGAGAGTGATCAACATTGAAATTGATCAACTGGGAGTTAAAAAACAATTTTATATCACTTTGATATCAGTTTTAGATAAGATTCTTTTTTTCCGTTTGGTGACCAAAATTCCTATTGGTGACCAAAATTTCAGTGCCCAATATTCCGTTTTTCGACTTGGTGACCAAAATTCCGCTGGTGACCAAAATTCAAAAAAAATTGGTGACCAGAATTCCGAAAAATCGTGGTGACCAGAATTCCAGTGACCAAAATTCCGTACACCGTGATAGTATTACAGTGCCGGAAAAAAAGATAGGACCAGACGCCCACATTTTCCTTTCCACAAATTTTCCTTTCCACAAATTTATACTCATTTTAAAGAGCACTTAATGGCCTAAAATTTTTGTGTTGAAACTTATTTTCTAAATGCCATTAAAAAAGAGATAAGCGAAAAAAACTAATTTAACAGCCTCTGGTCCTATCTTTTTTTCCGGCACTGTATATTCGAGGATGATTATTACGGAATAAAAATATTTGATTAACAGATGAACAATAAAAATAAAAATTTAAATTAAAAATAATTTATTACCACCAATTGCCAGGTTCCCCGATCTAAAAGGAGCATTTCGAGCTGATTCCTCTTGTGCACGTAAAAGCACTGAAAAATTAAAATTTTTTTGTCAACAAAATTGGTATTGTGTGCTTATCCAATAACCACATTGTAGAGCCCGTACCGAGACGAGGTATTCATAGAAAATTTCGGTTATCGAAATCTCGATTCTCGTACGACCGTCCCATTCGGGGTTCTAACACATAGTATAACAAAATTTAATATAAATATTACTCTGCTGTTCTTCCTCTTCAGTGCTAGGATATAAATATTGAGGAAGTGTCGAATCTTTATATTAAAATTTATTAACAGTTAAAAATATATATTTCATATATGTATATGTTGCCAAAGAACGAGTCCGAGGTTTTAAAACTTTCTATAACATTAAAAATCTACTAAATCTTTGACAAATATTTGTTTTATTTTTTCAGATTCAGTAGGTGGCACAAGTGGATAAGACAAATAAAACTTTGGATACATTTCTTCAAATGATTTGAAAAATTTTTTATTTTCGCCCAGCTTTGACCCGAATTACAAGAACATATAGCAAAAAGAGAAAACCTCCAACATAGAATTATTTCGACACAGTCCCCTCCCAACAACCTCCAACCCCTAGCTATATAAATTCCATATTTTTTGGCATAGAAATAATTTAAGTAATTTGTACTACTAAACATTGCGATCTTCTCAAATATGCCTTTTATGTGTAGTTCAGTTTCTTTCTTATAATTACTTATCTATAATGATAAGTTCTTATGACGGCTTTTTATTATTGGTGTTATCGACCGTTTTAGACTCTAATTCCATTATTTAAAAAATATAATTTGGGAAAATTTTCTCTGTATCGCAAAAAAATCTGACTACTTGGCCTACCAAAAAAACTACGTAACGCAATTAATTGTTCAATTAGATTTTATGTTTCCCCTTTTTAGATCATTTTTAGTTACCGTATTTCCTATATTAGAGCCCCATGGGGCTCTATTTTTCAACTATCCTCCAGGGTGGGGCTGTATTAAAGGGTGGGGCTCTAATTGAGGGTGGGGCTCTATTTTTCAACCCTCTTTGAGTTAAAATCCCATTTATTAACTGTCCATTGCAACAAGAGATAGGCCGGAGGGGATGGTCGATAAAACCGAAAATATCAAAAGCGAATCGATATTTTTTTTGATTTTTCATGAAAAATTAAAACTTTTTAAGCAATGAATAACAAAATAGTCACAATAATTCAATAAGAGTAAGATTAATATTAAATATTAATAGATTTGGACGGATTAAAGGAAATATTAGGGGACTAGTGTTTGACATCGATGGATCAGAGGTATAAGAGTGGCTTTTAAGGGATTATGGGGAATACAGAGGATTAAGCTTATATTGAGAGATTTAGCGGGATTAAGAGGGATATTCTGGACTAGGGGTATTAGGAGGCAAATGAAGGGATTTTGTTTGATGAAGCTTTTGAACAAGTTCCAGAACTGGAACCGATTTTGGAGAAATTTTGGAACTTCATCACTGATTATAAGCGAGATCTCTAATAGATCTTTAATAATCTCTCGAATTATCGCCAAGTGCCTAACACGATTGCAACCCTTCATATTGAAACCCTTCAAAAATTGCAACCCTTCATAAATTTATTTTATTGGAGATAATAGGAGGGATTTGGAGGAATATAGGCGATTCTAGAGTATTTGGGCGGATATCGAAGTTATCCCCTCCTTTTCATTTCTATATTCCTATGATCCCTCCTCCTTCTTGATCGCGATATCATCGAGATCCATCCCCTTTATTTCCTTAACTCTCTTAATACATCTAAAAAGTTATTGGGATAATTTTTCCTCCAATATTTTTTAGGTGGGGCTTTATTTGGGGTGGGGCTCTAATTGAGGGTGGGGCTCTATTTTTTAACTATCCTCCAAAGTGGGGCTGTATTAGAGGGTGGGGCTCTAACAGAGGGTGGGGCTCTAATATAGGAAATACGGTATTTAATATTCAAGATAAACACCTTGATCTCCGACATAAATATCCTTTCCAAATAATTTAAAATGAGGTTGTGTATGGCCAAAATGTTGTTCATGATCTTCTTTATTTGTTGCTATTTGTGTAAGATATTGTTGTTTTCCATGGTGTGGGTATGGAGGAAAACCAAAATGTTGTTGCCCTGCTTCGGGTAATGTTGGTTGACCAACCTTTAAATTTAGAATCCAAAAGTAAAATAAAGGGTTTATGGTAAGTTTCGTAATTAAAAAACTAAAATTATATTTTAATATAATAAAAATTATATTCCTACACTGCTGCCAGCTCCATCAGGCATTCTGAAATTTAATTTTTATTAAATTTCAAATGACAGAACGTTAATGTTTTAATAAAAAATAAAATAAACATACAAAATATCCCATCATTGAAATTTTATAGAAAAAAAACAAACTAACGCGTAAGGAGTTCCATCTTCCCTTATTCCAATTACCCCATAATTGTTTGCTTTTTTCATTTTTTTATTTTTTATAATAAAATCCCAAACATGTTCTCCGTGTTGTTTACAAACATGATATCTCAGAACATTCAAACATTTAATTGGTTTAAAACACATAAATACTGGACATCTATAATAGTTTTCATCTTTATGTATTTTTTCATGTTTAGTTTTGCTACTGATACTTGAAAAAGTCTAAAAATTTAAAAATTAATTTTCTTTTTAAAGTTTCGTTGCTCTACAAGATAGAGCAAAAAAATAATAAAATTTTTTTGACAGTTCGGAAATGTACGGAATGCTCAATGAGCTCTATATACATATCCATTTACAATTCACTACCTAAAATTGTCCTCTAACAAATTTGTTATAAGTAAATAAAAGAAGAATGAAGGTTAGTATGAACCCGGGCCTTACTCATATCATTTATATTTCCCAAATAAATTTAAGTTAATTTGTATAATATTTATTAAATTATAGCGGTAGGTCTCGTTTTCTAATACTTTTTGTGGAGTTAATCTACTCAGCTCGATGAGCACTACCCATCTATTTATTCAGTCCAACTCCTACATGAATGGCTCTGAGTATATGTAAATCAGTTTTTGGGTGAATGCAATTTTCTCATTTTGGGAGGGTTACGCGCAATCGAATATCTCTTTAAGCATTAATCTAAAAAATTTTTTTCTTTATGATTTCTATAGATAAAAGACTGCTCTAGATGCCAGAAAAAATTTTGTGTAATTTCTGCAATCTATTCTAATGTTATAGACAAAATGTCTCAAAAAAAGGTGTGACCTAGAGCAATAATTTTTCTTACATTCCTTGAACCTTATCTCAAAGTAGAATAGGGAAAATTCTAAAAGATTTTTATATTTTATTCTCCATTTAATTCTCTATAATTTCATCCTTATTTGATCTCATTATCTTTAATTTGAAAAAAGTTATGGCAAAAATAAAGTGTCCAATTACTTTTGGGTCACCATGTATTTATTCAATGACCTTTTTGTACATAGAAAACAAAAAATTGACTTCTAAAAAATTCACAAAATTTAAAAACAGAAAACCCATTTAAGTTCTAGTAAAAAATTGAAGGAAACTCTGTTTTATTAACAAGATTCTATGGTTTTATCTGTTCCAAGTTTTAGTTGTTTCGAAACACGGTCCGAAGTATATTTTAGTAACGAAATTCGATTGGTCTTTCTTAAATTCTCAATAAATTCCTCTTCATTCCCAATAAAACAAAATTAAATTTAAAAAATATGTATATAATTAATTACCTTATCACAATGAGCACATTTATACGTAATTTTTTCTCCTGTATGCTCACGTTGATGATTTTTAAGATTTTCTTGACGAGTAAATTTTTCATTACAACTAACATCATTTTGATCAACATACTGGAAAGGAATATTTTAGAACTTTGCTAAAAAGTTTTCTGAAGTTAATACCGTGCAAACATAAGGCTTTACTCCTGTATGTGTTCTAATATGTTGTGCGAAATTTGGTTGCAAAAAAGACTTTCCATTACATCCAGACCAAAGACAGTTGCGACGGGGACCCTTTAAATATTATAAAACAAATTAAGACAGGAATGTAAACTAAAAATTTTAAGTTGACTGAAGAGAGCCCACTTTCACTGACTTTATTAAGCAGGAAAATGACTATTATCAAATAATTAGTGACCTTTTGATTTTTTGTATGTTCTTTAACATGTTCCACAAATTCATTTTGATCATAAAAAACCCTTCCACATCCGTTCCAATCACATTTGGCAGAATAACCATTCCTTAATTTTTTAATTAAAATAAATTATTTCTATTAACCCCAGGTTTTCCATCAACACTTCTCCTACATTCATTTGTTGACTAGTTTCTGTTTTGCTTGTTTCGCCATCACGGTATCGTGAAGGATTGAAATTATGTTGTCCATCCTTTCCATCACCTCTTTCAGTTAAATTAACAAGATCAAGTTTAAAAAATAAGCAAAAAAGCAAAAATATTGAAAGCTTCATTACTTTATGGAATTGTTTTAAATATTTTCAAAATAAAAAAAATTGTTTGTATTTTTAGATGAACACTAGAAGATATATAGAAAATATAAACATTATATATGCAATGAAAATAATCACGCTCAATTATATTTATATCTCCGAACTCAAGCTAATATATTTTTTTAGTGCCGCAGGTGAAATTATTTTGATTATACTTTGTGAATAAGACAGAAATTCAAGGTTTCATTTATTTACAGGCCATAGCTTTTTCAAATTAACGATATTGGGATTGCCTCAAGATTGTGCCTATTTAACCAAAAAATCGTCGGGGTTGTATTTTGGAGGCCGCGATGCTACATAACTTACTTTATATAGAACATGCTCCTTCTCCTTAATGCCTAATAGTTTAAGGTTGTGCAAGACATTTTATCTAATTTGCTCATCATGTTTTTTAATTTTTCTTATGTAATATGAAAGTAATTCTATTATAGCCCATTTTTAAAAGGAAATTTTAAGGAGCGGGATACTTCACAAAATGTCATTGCTTTTTTTCTCTCTCCGCCTATTCACAAAAGATTGAGCCAAGAGGATCATTTCATCGAACCATTCATTCTATAATTTTTTATCTTCCTTGGCTCCATTTTAAGACATTCATCCCATAAGCTATTATGCGTCCCATATAGTGGATCAAAAATACACAGAATTGCAAAAAATAAATTTATAATCCACACAGAATACATGAATTTGTCAAAGCTTTTTGCCGCAGCAGTGGATTATAATTTCCTCACCTCATTTCCTTTCTCTACATCTTTTCTCCTTAAATCTATCTTTACACTAGAGTTGGGTGGGATCGGGATCCGGGTCGAGATCGAGCGGGATTATCCCGGTTACGGTTAACTGAAGGTCACGGCTACGGTTAACCGAATGTCCCACATGGCTTGCCAATATTCTCAGAATTTGGAAAGCCTGTCTCAAAGGTTCATCTTAAACCGCAAAATTTTCGCTTCGGCGCTATAAAAAGGAAAAATCAGCAACATTGTTCAAAGCGTGCCCGGGATTAAACTTTTACCTCGCTCTTACTATATAAAAAAGGAAGAAAACATAACACCAAAACTTCATGCAGTATTTTAACTTCATGAATGAGTTGAATTAATAATTCCCAACCAGTGCTAGGTATTTGCCATTTGTTGGCTCCGGCTCCGGGGTTTCAAAATCTTGGCCCCGGCTCCGGGCTCCAGCCTTTTAAAATCTTGGCTCCGGCTCCGGAGCCGGCGATTTTCGGAGCCGCTCCATGTTGGCTCCGGGCTCCGGGTGGAAAATCAATGAATTATTTTTCATTGGGTGATTTGGTTAGATAAAGCGGGATATCGAGTGATATAAGAAGATTAAGAGGGTTATCAATGGATTGAGCGGGATTTGGGTGGATTATCGTGTTATTTAGGTGGATTACGGGCGATATCGGGGGGATTAAGGAGATTTGGATCCAAAATCTTCCTTTTTTGCGCCGCAGGCGAAACTTTTGAAAAATTTTGACAATACTTAAGCCAAAAATCTTCCTTTTCAGCGCCGCAGGCGAAAATTTTTAAAATTTTGGACGATACTTAAGCCAAAAATCTTCCTTTTTTGCGCCGCAAGTGAAAATTTTGAAAAAAAAGAGACTAAAATTAATCAAACTAAAAAATTTATCCAGCTTTATTTAATAAAAAAATGCTTATTATAACCTATTTTCCAAATAAAAACAATTATTTAATTATTTGTTGTGATATTTTCGAACCTATAATTGGATAAAACTCGGAACATAACTCACTATCCATTCAACCACACCTACTTTGCAAAGGAAAGAAAAGAAAATCTTTTTTACCCACCTCATTTTTCTCTTCCTTTTCTTTTCACGACTACCATCTTTGCTTACTTCTTTTTCTCTAACCCATCTTTAGGGGTGTATATCCGGAGCCGTGGGGAATTGGAAAACGTCGAAAACCAAAAATGTTGTTTATTTGATGAATTAGATTCTTCAGTTGAGTTCGACCATAGCAAGTTCTACCAGAAAAACGGTTAAGTCCTAAGCGAAGAAAATTTTAGGCTAAACTGAAATATCTTAGTTCGATATTTTTAGACTGGGCGTCACCAGTTTGAATAGAACAAATTAAGTTTAATTAAATAAATAAA